GTTATGCCCATATGCATGTTGATAGCACTTTGGCAAGGGATACAATGTAGTTTAGATAGAAGAAGTAAAACCAGAACCAAAGCAAAGCAGAAAACCCTTGTTAACAACATTCTAAACCCTGTTTTCAGAAGGATATTAAGGGACTGCTGGAATACCAACAGAGATCCATCTTCTTTGTATGACCACAGAAAACAATTGTAATAATTTCAGGAGATAAACCAATTTTTTTTTAAAAAAAGAAAATGACAAATCTTAATTGTTGTATTTGAYCAGTTTAAATATAACACACTATCTACCATACATCATTGCAAGAATTTTATTTTTTTTTTCAAGTAATTGCCACCCTACTTCAATCGCTTTACAATGACAGTTTCATGCTTATGAACTACCTTTACCAAGACACTGCCAAACCACTTATTGGTCTGCATTGTATCACAGACTGACTTGGTTTAAGCAGGTAGAATTAAAAAAAAAAAAACAAATCTAAAAAGAAAAATTTTAAATTACAGACAATGTATGACACATTTTGTGACAAAATGGATCATAATAAAAGGTTATTTTTAATGAGTAATACCTAATTTAGAACTGCAATATGGCATTTAAAATCTAATTAGTTTATCCCTTTCTTTATAGAGAGAGGGGGAAAAAAAGATAAAATAGCAATTGAGAAGAAAATAATACTATATAAATTGGTATAGAACTGGTAGAAATGAGAACTGTGTTCATCTATTAATTAATGCTAACAATGCATTAATATTGGTCAGATCTAAAGGGTACAAAAAGCCAAGCAAAATGTGTAGYCTGAATTAATTACAGTAAAATTGCACTGAAGCAAAAAATCTTTGAAAGTCTACGTTCAAATGTAAGAGGAAAAAATCTTAAGAGGGGTGAAGGGGAAAAAGGATGCAAGGAAAGCATGCAAAAAACTGCCTGCCAGGAATGGACACCAAGGAAACTGTCCTATCTGGGTTTCCTCTTGGTTGGATCTAACAGATTTGCACTGAAAGGAGCCTTGGACTGAACAAGTACCTACATAGTGGGGACCCTTAGTGCAGAAGGTTCCAGAAAAGGCTGCAGACCTCAGTCTACAAATGAATCCTGAAATTATTGCCTAAGTTCCCGTAGAGTCAATAGGAGAAGCCAGAAATCTTCAAAAACCGTCTTCAGAATGCTCAGGATGCACTTAGCCTTTAGTAGTCTGTATAAATAGTATAAACAAATTTGAGAGACAAAAATGGAATCCAGATGCAGTTTGAGAAATAAAATGGGCAACAGAAAAGCTGAAGAGGGGCATGTATGAATCTCTCAGGAGCTTGGGATTATAAGAAGCACAGTGTACTTCACTACTAATGCTGTCCATGGATTCCAGTCCCTGGAGCTCGTACTTAGGCTGGGCTCTTTTCAGGGACACTAGGTCTGAATGTGAACAAACACCTTGCACTCTGCATTCTATCCTTAGATTTCAAGAGGGGACCTGTAACTGATACCTAACCATGGAGCTCAGATAAAGCTCTGTCTTTCTTGAGAGGGATAATATGCTGTCAAGGAGTTGCTTTAGGTTTTGTATCAGTCATCACAGAAAAAGCAGATCATATGACACAAAGCCACAGAACAGCTGTTGCATCCTTTAGCGCTGAGATAGACCACCTTACATTTTTTGGACTTGAGCTTAAACAATTAGATGGCATCCAAGAAAATGGCTCATAAAACCACCTAACATTTTTTTCTCAGAAGGAAGCTGATCATTCAGGCAAAATCCCTGAAAACATTAAGATGTCTAGGGCTTTTTGTGGTTTTGTTAGGGTTTTTGTTAGGGTTT